ATTTGTGTTTTTTTTTTAATTTAGGGCCCCTTTATAACATATGCTACAGGCGCCGCACTAGCTTAATCTGGCACTGATGTCACCGAGGAACCTCGTCCAACAGTGGCTCAATCATGAGAGATTATGATGGCGATGACAACGGGCGTTTAATTAAAACAATAACAAATGATAGTTACACAAAATATGCAACTGGATATTTGCTTGTCGGTTAGCGAGGGTTTAATAAAAAATGCTGTAGAAACATTGCTAACTCGGCATGAACTGTGGATGGAGTGTCCACCATTTAACACGTGCAGGCTTTCGCGACCAACGCTACGATTTATCGTCAAATTGTTGGGTCAGATTTCGTGAGTCATAAAGATCGCGTGATGCCCGTTGTGACTACTGTACCTGAAACAAAACGCTTGTAGCCCTAATTGTTGGATCTGGCGGATTGCTCTCCATCCATACCGGCCTGCTGACGCAAACAAAACTGGCACACTTTTTGATTTAAAGCTTTCGTGACTGCAGGGATTCATGTTCTTGCTTCTTTCGGTAAAGTCACGTAGAAGGGAAACAATAAAATAATAAAAATATAAAACAATAAAATTCTCACGACGTTTCGACTGCAACACAAGCAATCATCATCAGGTGTGAAAACCACAGCAAGAAAATTTGAAAAAAGTGGTGTTTTTTTAACGTTAGCACCACGGAGAGCGATTTGGCAGTTATTCAGATGGACGAGTCCATCTAGGTTCGGAAAAGAGGAGGGGGGAGACAAAAATAATGGATGCGGTCTGAAAGCCACCGTAAGCGTGAACACTCACTTAAGACCCGAAATGGTTTATCAAATCCTTCCAATGATTGCTAAGCCAGAATCCATCTTCTCGGTTGAAATTGTCTCTGTGTTTGTATATGTGGATAGCCTCATGAACGAATCTCTCATGGTAGCCGGATGGCTTGCAAAGAACCTCTGTCTTGGAGAAGTCAATGTCATGTGAGCCACTCTGTGCCCAACTTTATGGAAGAGGTACGTAGATGACACTTTTGTCATCTGGCCATTTGGCCGGCCTGCTCTAGACCAATTCCTCGACCACATCAATTCCATACACCCAGCCATCAGATTTACGATGAAAGTCGAAAAAGATGGCAAGCTACCCTTTTTGGATGTCCTAATAAAAAAGAGACCTGATGGTTTAATGAGCCACTCTGTCTACAGGAAAGCTACACATACGGATGCTTATCTGAAACCGGATTCCCACCACCATCCATCCCAGAAGAATTCCCTCATCAGGACTCTGCACCATAGAGCCCAATGCATATCCGACCAGGAACACATAGCCAGTGAACTCAAGCACGTACACCAAGCTCTTAAGGCTAATGGTTACTCCGACTACACAATCCGCAAAGCTATCACTCCAACCATGAAGAAGGACCCTCTTGAGGAGCCTTTCAAAATCATCACTTTACCCTACATTGTGGGGATCACAAAAAGAGATCTCCAAAATCTTGAATAAACACAAGATCCAGGTCCGATTCAACACATTACAGAAAATCCGTGATCTGGTTCCGTCTGTAAAAGATGTGATTCCGGACATACAGTACCCTGGCGTCTACAAACTAAGTTGCCCCTGTGGTAGTAGTTACATTGGAGAAACCAAACGACATGTCTCGGACCGCATTCGTGAACACAAAGCAGACCTAAAACACGGTAGGACCAACACCTCGGCCGTTGCAGATCACTGTTATAATTCAGTAGGCTCACATGACATTGACTTCTCCAAGACAGAGGTTATTTGCAAGCCATCTGGCTACCATGATAGATTCGTTCATGAGGCTATCCACATATACAAACACAGAGACAATTTCAACCGAGAAGATGGATTCTGGCTTAGCAATTATTGGAAGGATTTGATCAACCATTTCGGGTCTTAATTGATTGTTCACGCTTACGGTGGCTTTCAGACCGCATCCATTATTTTTGTCTCCCCCCTCCTCTTTTCCGAACATAGATAGACTCGTCCATCTGAATAACTGCCAAATTGCTCTCCGTGGTGCTAACGTAAAAAAAAAACCCGCCACTTTTTAAAATTTTTCTTGCTGTGATTTTCACACCTGATGATGATTGCTTGTGTTGCAGTCGAAACGTCGTGAGAATTTTATTGTTTTATATTTTTATTATTTTATTGTTTCCCTTCTACGTGACTTTACCGAAAGAACCAAGAACATGCCACACTTTTGTTCACGTGACAACTTAATTTGGCTTCTGCCGGGTGGATGAGGGAGCACGACACAACATGCACACACATTGGCATTGCACTCATGCGGCGATCTATACCCCCCAAAAAAACAATTATGAATCAGTGTGCGCTGTACGTACAGTTCGAGCAATAACGTAGCAGTGGTTTTCATGAACCCTCTTGCAAATGATTAAATGGGGGGGGGGGGGCGGGGGGGCCTGCCCCCTCAAGACCGTGCGCCCCACCGCAGTTGCACCGCCTGCACACTCCACAGCTACACTAAAGCAGGCTCCCACGTTATTTTATGGGTGCAATACTACGCAGTTATTCTTGTGTTTTTGTTTTATTCCGGGAAAGCCTCACCGAATCTCACGCCTGTTTTTTTTTAGAAGGCAGGAGGGGTCTAAAAAAAAATGTGGGTATATTTGTTGCTGAAATAATTCATTTGGGGGCGCCACGGTGGCTAGGAGATGTTAACTACCTCGCCTGGTATGCAAGGAGTTCTTGGGTTCGAACCGCAATCCTTGACGCGTGCTCTCAATGTGAAGTTTGCGGTGTCTGTCTCTCTCTCTTCCCGTGGTCGCGTGGGGGGGTTCCCCCCCCCCCTCACCCCCCACATTTAGAATCAACATCACCACGCGTTTAATAGAGTATTTATTTTACTGCTTTAAATTCCCCGCGACGATAAAAGCCGCCAACTTCGCTGAGCCTGTCATTTGTGATCGCAAGGTGGCTTCTGAAAAAGAGTTACACTGTAATAGGCCTTACCTGGTATAAAATTAAAAAAAAATAGTCAAACAGAAAATCTTACGTAAGTCTATAAGTGTCCTATATGTACTGCATGTTCTGTGTTAGTTTATGGGTCTCTGCAGCGTAAGCTACTGGCGGTTACACCCAGAGACTCTGCACTGCAGGTACCTAACGAGACAACCACACTGTGAACATCTCTAGAAAGCAGCAGCAGCAGCACAGACACTTAGGCATGTGTTTGAGAGAGAGAGAGACAGAGGAGAGAGAGGAAAAAAAACTCCCCAAGACCTTAGGAAGGCGAATTACGTAATCGTTGTGTGCGATTGGTCGGAGTGGCGAGGTAGGCGCACAGACACAGACACACAGCCACACACACAGACACACAGACACACACACACACAGCCACACACACACAGGCACACAGCCACACACACACAGCCACACACACAGACACACAGCCACACACACACACAGACACACAGCCATACACACACACAGCCACACACACAGACACACAGCCACACAGCCACAGACACACACACAGATACACAGCCACACACACACACAGCCCCACACACACACACAGCCACACACACACAGACACACACACAGCCACACACAGACACACAGCCACACACACACAGACGGACAGCCACACACAGCCACACACACACACAGCCACACACACACAGCCACACACACACAGCCACACACACAGACACACAGCCACACACACACAGACACACACACACAGCCACACACACACACAGACACACAGCCACACACAGACACACACACAGACGGACAGCCACACACAGCCACACACACGCAGCCACACACACACAGCCACACACACACAGACACACACAGCCAAACACACACAGACACACACCGCTCGGTTACCCCGTAACCACCCTACCAGCAGCAACTCTGTGATGTCGCCAGCGACAAGATTCCTTCTCAAACTGGGAGAGCATTCGCATGCCCACCCGCCACCCCGCCAAAAAATCAGATTTTTTAAAAAAACTAATAACAGATTGCTTCAATAGCCCAACATTCAGGGATTTTAATTCCCCAGGCAATGCCCCGGAGCGCGCCGAAATCCCTCTCGCAGTAGCACCGCCTGCACACTCGACACATTTTCCGGAGCTCAGCCCCGTGACAGCTCCAGTGAAGACCAAACCATGCCGACAGCCAATACGCTTTTTTTTGTTGACAAGGAAATGTTGTAAACTATAATAAATAAAAGTATTGCATTCATGCGAAAGTTTAAATTTCACGTTCCTTTATTGTCCATTTGTAGCTCTGTGGGCTTTTTTTTTGTCGCACTCCCTCTCTGGGTGTAAATAAATATAGGTCTAAGCTCGGTATTGACGTAGTGTGTAAAATGTATCTGTGTGTTTACGAGCTTTCAATTTCATATTTATAACCAGAGGTCTCCCCCCCCCTCTCTCCCCCCTCACATTCCCTTTCGCCCCCACCCCCGCTCGCTCTATTTCCCCCGCCTCCATTTCCGCTCTCCCTCCCCTCTATTTCCGGCGTACCCCCCCCCCCCCCTTAACGCCCCCCCCCCCTTTCGCCCGCCCCAATTCCCACCCCACTTCTATTTCCGGTCTCCATCTCCCTTCCCGTTCTCAAATCCCCCTCCTTCATTTCCGGTGGCCCACACCTTCCCCCCCCCCCGCCCGCCGTACACTGCCATTACGGCACGCGCGCGCCCGTTGGGAGGGGCGGGGCTCGGATTGGTGTGGGGAGCTGAGGGGAGGGGGGGAGGGTCCAACCTCCCCCCCCTTTTTAGCCCCCCCCCCACCCCCACAAGGCTGCTCGCGTGCACCCTCAGCCGTCACGCGACTACGAACCCGCCAATAGCGGCGCGCGGACACACGAGCGAAAGGGGGAGGAGACTTCGGCATGCGGGGGGGGGAACGGGGGAGGGGTGTGCCGGGGGGATGAGGGGGCGGGGGGTTCTGGAGGGTTGGTTGGTGGGGGGAGGGGCTATGAGGGGGAGGGAGGGGGGGATGGGGGGGGAGGGGCCCGCCTCATTATTGTCGCCATTACAGCGCGAGTCGCGGGCGCTGTGGCAGGGACGGCCGCGCCAGGCGCTTCCACCATCCCCCCCCCGCGTCTCTCTCGCTCGCTCGCTCGTTCGCTCTCACGCGAATAGCGACAGCGACTCGCGAGGGTGATCACAGCGAGTCGCCATCAAAACGTCGGCGGCGGCGGCGGCGTCGGAGTTGAGAGGAAATTGATCTCGCTTCTCTCTCTCTTTTTTTATTACCCGTCCGTGCTAAACCTTTTCGCTTGTCGAATAAACACGCAGCCGTAGTAGTGGTGGTGGTGGTAGTAGTAGTAAACCAGTAAGTACTAACTAGTAGCAGCGGTGGTAGCCGTAGCGGGTGGTTGGTGGCGGTAAAGACTGGTGGACTGGTAAAAAGCGAGGAGAAACAAGAATTCCTGCCGCGGGGCCCAGAGCCATGCACGGAGCATGACCGCCGCAAGCTGGGTGGCAAACGGCGCCAGTTTGGAAGACTGCCACTCCAATCTCTTCTCCCTGGTAAGCGAGCCGCGGCGGCCGCGAGCGATGAAGGCGAGCGAGAGAGAGAGAGAGGGCCCCCCTCGATGCCCGGGCGGGGAGAGCGAACGAACGAGCGGGCGGGCGGGGAGAGCGAGCGAGCTAGCGAGCTAGCGCCGTGCCCGCACGCAGAGCCGCCGAGCGAGGAGAGAAGAGAACGCCGCAGGACGGAGAAGCGGCGGGGAGGGGAAGGTTTTGGTGGTGGTGGTGGTAGAGAGAGAGAGACGACGACGACGTCGACGGACGGCGTAGACGAGACGGACGCGGGAGCCCGCGCCGCTAGAATTACCGCCCCGTCCGCTTCTAGAATCATTACAGCGGCCATTTTCTTGCAAGTGATAATTTATTTTATTATCGTCATCATTATGTTAATTTTTTGTGCGTTAAAATTTTTTTTTCTTTCCCCCACCTATTGTTGCGACGTTCGCTCCGTCGTGCGAGGCTTTACTCAAGGGGGGGGGGGGGGTGGGGGGTTATTCCCCCCCACACCTATCAAACCCCCGGCGCTTGAGTCGCGCCGAGGTGGAGCTCGCTCGCGGGGGTTCGCGTTGTTTTTCTCGGGGCTTCTCCCCCCCCCACTACCTCCCCGCTCTCGCCTGGACGCGCTGCCGCCTCGCCATCGAGGCCTCCCCGCGGGACGTGCAGGCCCTGCCGCCTCGAAACCGATAAGAGGGCCGCGTCTCGCCCCAGGCCGGAGGGCGGCCCGCGGCCCCCCCTAACAAACTCTCCCCAATCCACTCCTGCATTTAAAACTATCGCAGTTTTAGTTTTGTGTTTCATGAACGCTCTCCGTCAATGGTTTAGAGCTTTTGTGCATCGGCTCCCTTCGTCTGGCCATTTGTCTGGAACGGCGGGGAGACACGATAACTCGAGTAAAGGTGATCTCAGTATGAATGGAACTTTCGTGTAAAGTTGCCATGATATTTGAAGACTTGGCCTATCAAAAAGCGACCAAATTGGTCAAAGGATTGCTTAAAACTATGGAGTTACAAAGCAGAGCTAAAATGACAAATTGCGAATATGCTTGACTATTTGGTTTCCATACTTATAATTTAATACTTCCGAGAACAAAACTCGCGTACAAGCAGAGCGTCACACAATACATTCCTACCCCCCCCCCCCCCGACGTATTATTTCGGGGATTGTATCGGCCCTTTTCTACTTCGTTACTACGTCGGCCCCAGTCTTGTCGTGTTTGCAAACGAAGTGCTGTGGGTTGGCGTACGTGCCATCTACCAATTATCGACTATCTTTGCCTGGTGTCCTGTGGTGTGTGGAAGTGGCGGTGTGACATAGAGCAGCACGCGTCATTGGTGTACGCAAGCTGTGGGTTGTACATGCGTGTTCTTATGTTAGCTATGTTCGCATGTACACTCGCGCATTTTGTTGTGTATTCTCAACACAAACTCGCTTGCCCGAGTCTTCGCCAGACATAAACGAGTGCGCGTGGGTCTACTGTCTAGGTAACGTCTGCCAGTGCTTGTGTGTCTTGAGCGTACGTGTGCATTTGAATATGCATAGGATGTGCTCACACTGCATGTGTATATTCACGTGTGGAGAGTGTGAATGAGTGGCCGTGTGTGCCCCTGTTGTGAGTGTTCAAGTCTCTTAATGGTGTCCGTGAGTACAGTAGCTTCATCCGTCGTTCGCACGTAATGCGCGTTTGAACTTATTTCGCACTGTACGTCGCCAACCGTGCAAATCGGAGGTGCAGAAGGTACCCCCGGTGGTGCACTCGTTTACACTGATAGGTATGCGTATGTGCCAGCGTGTCTTCTGTGCATATGTGTACACACGTGTGCCCGTGTGGATATACGCGAATGTACAAAGTGCACGTTGTCTGACGTGCGTGCACTTTTACCAACCAAGATGTGAACACGTTTGGCTACCTACGTGTGTTGTGCATTCCTGCACGTGTGCACTGTACGTGCACATGTTGGTATTATTGGTTTCTACATCTATGATGATGTTCTCATTTCTACACGCGTCTACGTAGCAGCATTGGCAAGTTTGCATGCTTTCCCTTTAAGTTTTTTCAGTGACGGTTTAATATGAATGCCGACATGCATCTATGTACAGTGTGCAGCACACGCATGTGTCCCACTGCTCGTGGCAGTCTGCGTTCGTGTAGAAATGCATTTTAACACGCACACTCACAGGCACTCGCACGTGGTGGATGAAGGAATTATCATCTGCACTTCTGTATGGTTCACATGCCTTGTGTCCTATGCGTGAGTCTGCATGATTTTCAGTTTTGCCTTTGCCCTCTCCCTCCCAACTTGTACCACCCACCCCAACCACCACCTTACAGGCTGACCTGACCGGCATCAAATGGCGTAGGTACACCTGTGGCCTTGGGGCCTCGGGGCCTGTGATTGCTGCGCCCGCGCAGGAAGACCCCATCCTGCACAGCTTCGTGCGCTCGCTGCAGACCAACCTCCTGGCCGTGTGGCGCCGCAATGGCAGTCCGGGCCTCAAGGAGCTGTGGGTTTACTGGTGGGGTGATCAGCCCAACCTCGGGGACGTCATTCATCCTGAACTTAGAGGTGAATGCACAGGGCCCTCGTAGCCCTTGTCCAGATGGCGAGCCATACGAGTCGATCTATCCCAGAGTGCCACGTGCATGCGTTCACAAGTACACAATCCAATGCACACACCTATTGCACCTCTTGCAGTGCACGCACCACCTCTTGCACACCACCCCGGTGTCTATCTGTGCACATTCATCTATGATGACCTATCCGACTGCTCAGTACTCGCCGAGGGAGTGCGATTATCATTGGACAGACAGCCCGGAACAGATTGAATGCACAGATGAACTGTCATTGACAAGCGCAAGAACCGTTTGCATGAAATAAACTGAAACATATTTATTTCAACAAATGTATTAAATTACGAATTTAAAAGTAAGCAAAAAAAATGTATCCTCAAAATGGAATTATCTTCACAAGTCGAAGCATTTTATTCGAAATATTTACGCTAACTGAAATAGGATACATTCATACAGTACTTTCAGAAGCTATAAGGGGCACATTCTGACTTGTCAAATGAAGTACTTACTGTGTGCCCACACAGACGCACATGTAATAACACAATGATAACTACAGAGGTGCAAAAGTATTGGCACAAAGCAGGCTTATATATGCATACAGATAAACAGGCACGTAAAAAAACAGTAGTTCTGCTGTCACCTGGGTGGACTCGTAATGACATCCCAAAATCCCACGCACAGCTGTAGAGAAAGCAGATTCACATACTGACACATGCCGGGACATGCAAACCTAACTGACACTGTCAGATGCAGTATTTAGAGAGGAATATATTTCTGCCAAGAATATTGACACATGTACTTGGACACACAGATTGAGAGAGAGAGCGGCTTGTGCACACAGTCACATTGAGACATCCGTGCACATCGCACACCCGTAAACTGATAAAGGCAAAATGGCATGACAAACTGACACGGACACATGGACGAACTGATAGATAAACATACAGATAAACAACCTGGCCAGTGCATAACTCTGACTGGCGCCTTGACTGATGGATACAGGTGCTCACAAACTGGTGTGCGTGCATCTCAGACACGCACAGATACGTCCACACGTAAAGTATACACTGAACATCTCTGTTTCACTGTATACAAATTGCAATAACTTTTATCAGGCTGAGCTTTCTGATGCAGGGTTTTCCACCGTCCATATTTGTTTCTTTTTATTTAAATGGGGAAAAAAATAGACATGGTTCGACTTTTGGAGTGTCATCAGCAGTGTGGCCAGTGGAAAAAAAACAGCATTAGGCTCATTTTGGCAAATGCCTTTGCATACCATGGGACCCATTCGTTGCAGTAAATAAAACTTGTACAAAATGTTATGCATGGGTGTGATGGATTTATTATTCAACTTAATTACTCCATCTGCCATTGGGTTTTATTTTTAGCTTTCAACTGTTCATATTTTGTTTTCATTCTCCTAGTTCCTTTTTCTGTTGAACTTCTTTCGCACCGTGTGTAGCCAACTTTGCTAATCGGAGGTGCTGGGGAAGGACAACAAACTAAACTCGGAGCACTTCTAAAGAAATTAGTTTTCAATCTAGATGATTAAAAGTGCATGGCTCCGGTGGCTTCCTAATATCGGAAGGAAGCGCGTTCCAGACGGCCGCAGAAGCGCGTCTGAAAGCGGTGCCATGCAGCAAATGTCTTTGTTAGATGGTTTAGCCAAAAGCCTCTGCGAGGATGGCCAATGTAATTTCCATGTCACTTCAGGTCTTCATGGAATCCACCCATCTTTGGTCTGTTCTCCCACTGATTTGTTCTCTGACTTCCTGTTTTTCAAAGCACTTGTTTCATAATATAACAAGTTTGTTCTGACCACATCCACAGTCTCACCTCTTATTATCTTGCCCCGAACTAAAGCAACTTCTGCTATTTTCTCTTTATTTGCGAGATGTTCTTGAAGACCGTGTTTGTAGAATATTCTGCAGGAACTTAATTGCTGTGGTTACCATATTTACTTTATGATTTTTTTTACCTGTGTGTGGTCCATGTTTCTCTACCATGAAGAGGGTTGGTCACACTACCATCTTGTTAACATACCGTATGGTGTTTTTGGATTTTGAATCATACAATGTTTTTTTTATCATATGAAGATAAAAATAGTAGGCTTCCCTACAGCGTTGGTTTAACCGTCTGCACTTTGCTAATGGGGATTGAGAATGTAAAAGCTGGTCCATCCAGATTTGCCTGCCGAAAGAAATGCGGCTGAAAAAAGAATGAACAACCAGCGTTGGTGCGTCAAACGCCAATGAAATCGCCAATGTATTGTTAATTTTACTTGGTGAAAACAAAAAAAAAATACCCCTCCTTTATTCTCCTGAATTACGCACAATTCAGCACCACAAGAGCTTACGGTAAACTTGTGCGCGGTCGTGACGTTTTGCTTTGAAGAGGCACCACGGTGTTTGTTGGGGGGGCGGGGGGGAGGGCAAGCCCCGCTATCGATGAGACAAAGGAAGTCAACTGTTCCTGGCTGCTTACGAAAAGTCCACGGGACCGATGGGATGAACATTTGTATTATTTCAATGCACAAATCCACTACGCAAGGGGCGTAATGCGCGTTATGCATCAAAACTAACTTGCATTTGTTGCCAGTCAAATGCATGTGCTGTAGGAGGAGGGATGCCACTCGATACGCAATTTATGGAAAATTGACGTTTGAGTTTATTGGATTACACCCTCCACTCAATTTGTTACTTTTTGGTGCTGGCAGTCAACTGCTGAAAGTGTCCATCTAGTCTATTAATATGTAAAGGTTGCTAAGGGGTCCCCTCTTCTTTGCATATACTCAATGTTTCTATACTATGACTCTGCATTGACTGGATTGCATTGTTCAACTCTGTATGTTGAACTTATTTCACACTGTTCATAGCCAACCGTGCTAATCGGAGGTTGAGCAAGTTGTAAATGTTGAGGGGCTAACTTAACTTGCAGTGCTTAAGTTTTAACAGGTCAAGGAACAAAGGCAGGAGTGTGTGACCTTGCAAATAGTGAACTTGTTTTTTTTATTTCATATGTACATTATGTTTATGAATGAGAAAATAACATGTATAGTAGATGTACCGTATATATGTATTAAGTGTCAATTTAAGTGCACAAAAACTAGACATGACAATGCCATATTATTTATCCAGGAAAGCATTATCTTGTCACAACAGTTTGCCATGTTGGTCTTTTCCTTATAAAATAAGTGGCGTTTTAACTAAAGGTGATAAATGCTCCACTACTTTTAGGGTTCCGTGTTAATGTCCAAGGCAAGTCGAACTAGACCACAAGGTACCTTTAGGGTTCAGTGCTAATCTTCATGGTTCAGAGAACTAGGCTACAAGGCATCTTTCAGAGATTTCTGGTGCATTGTTATTCCCCAAGGCTCTGAGTCAGACTTAAAGCAATGTCACTATTCTTAGGGTAAAATAGAAATCCCTGAAACTAAGAAATCTAGTTTCAGTAGTATCCTAGTCATACGCACCATCTATATATACATACACACATAGTGCTAAGTGTCTAGCGTGAAAATCTTATCTGAGCAATCTGTCACCAATTAAGTAATTAACACTTAAAAGAAAGGCCAACAGGTTGGCCCGTTTCGTTGAAAAGTCCTTACTGTGTGCCACTGCCAGACCTGTTGCCAGCTTCACCAGCCAGCCAGACTTTTAATCCAGACATCCTACTCTATAAAGACATCCAAAAGAGCCCGCGGCCCTTTCAACTGTACGGACAATGGGCTGCTATGTTTTCACACCCAGTCTATCCAGAGCTAGACGGGGTAGTCTAGTCGGCGCGCACGGCCCGGTCAGCTGGACAGCCAATGGTGCCAGGCCGGCCTCTGGAGTAAGATGGAGGAGGGTGAGCGAGGGCAGGCAGGCAAGTCAGTTGACTGACGATAGCCAAGGAAATGTGATCCGCGGTTTGGTGTGCTTGTTCTCGGCTGCTGGATTCCTCCCGCCTTTACTCAGCCAGCACAATCACCACCTCCCCCCACCCCCCACCTCCCCCCCCCCTGAACTAGCTGTGTACTCCCTAAGGGCAAGCTGTGCCTTTTTTTCTTGCTGCGGTGGTAGTTTGTGTTTGGTCACTTGCATGCACCGCTTGCTTTTGTACTGGCTGACCTGCTGTGTGATGCACCACGTAACTGGGATATGGGTCCCACTGTCTGATACCCTGGATTTGTCTATAGCAATTGTGAACCATGGACACACACTGGCAGGTAGAGTGGATGATCATCTGTAGGATAACGTGGCTGATAATACCGATAAGCCTATAGTATGTGAACATTCACCAAAAGACTTCCTGGTTTGCTTCTGTGCTGCTAAGGCCAATCCACTACACGCGCCCCGGACACTCTCTTGCGCGCCACAGTCTTTGTAGCGACACCACAAATGTGTGTTGTGGCATCGCTGTGGCTGCAGTGTGACGACGCCGCCTTCGTTCTCTATAACAACACCACGTGTGGGTAACGCTTAATGGATAGCAAATTACTTGATGCGCGAGTCAACACACACTTAGGGTCTGTCAAATTCACCTCTGGTTAGAGCTATAGTTGTTTACTCTATCAGGAACGGTACATTACTGACGACGACGCATGTGGATTGTTAACAATATGGTGTGAAGGTTGCCTTACAGACGAGAGCTACCGTAGCACGTGACTTTAATGCAAGCACAATGTTGTTTCCTGCCCCTAGTTCAGTCGTGCATTCTCCAGTAGAAAGCCATGGATTTTATTGAACTGCGTTCCCGGTGGCAATGGAAGTGCTTCGACACTTTACGTCGTGAAAATAATTGAGCTTTTTTGAGATTTTGAGAAACTCGTGTGTAGTGTATTAAAATAAATAGAAAAGCTACACCCTTCACATGTTGACCTACAGCAGCTCTTTTGTGTGTGTTGTGAGAAGCTGACTTCTTCTCACCTGATGGATCGTACGCGCCGCTTGATGGGCTGTGATAAATGAGCGTGCACGCTACATCCTCGCGGGCTTTTTCCCTCCCCACTCC